GGGAAAAGTTGACAGTAGTGAGCAGGCAGCAGAGCTCCCTCTGCACAGCTATTGCAGAAGCATGTCCAGCTAGCCCGGCTCCAGTTATCCCATCCTTCCCAAGGGTGCAGCGCCTGCGGAGCGCAGCAGAAGATGGTTATAGCCATGGGAGCCAGGAAGAATCTGAGAAGGAACAAGCAGCTGAGAGACCTGGCATTCCTTGGGCAGCTTCCCGGAGCAGCGAGGCACCTGGATCAGCACAGGATGAAGTGAGCACTGGCTGCTGCCATGTTGGCAGAACAGAGCTGCTCAGAGGCTGTTGGACAGGTTTGTAGCTGAGCCGGTTTATCCAGTGTCGAAGATGGGAAGTTACTTGTCTGCCCCAGCTTACTTCGCTCCCAAGGATCCCTTTCGGTAAGTCTTGCGCGGAATTAGCAGGGGAGCTCCCAAGTGTCCTTCCTGGCCTGCAACGCTGCCCACGCAGTAGGTGAGGTGCAGGGAGCCACGTCCGGGGGCTGCGAGCGGCCCTGTTTGAGCAGCAGGCAGGGAAGGGTCTCGTTGCTGCGGTCGCTCCCTCTGGAAAGAGGGAGCAGCAGCCGGCAGGTGAAGCAGCGTCTGGCAGGCCGAGAGGGCTGCGGGCAGCCCGAGGCCACGGCGGCTCCGTGCGCGTCTCCTGCAGCACAGCCTGGGCTCGGGCGCGCGGCGAGGGAGCGCCACGCTCTGCGGCCGGGGAGGTGACGTAATCCGCAGCAATTGGGGTTTGATCCTGTTGGGGAGAAGAAATAGGGACTCTGCGGGTAGCTGGGGACTTGCAGGACGTTTCACTTGCACGGAAAGGATTCCTGCCCCATGTTACTTGGTTTATATCAGCCTCCTTTCTTGGTTTGGCCAAACAAACGAGACATGAGGAAGATGTTAGCTCTAGAATAACACTTTGCTTGCATTGGATTTCTGTGGTGAAAACTCTTAGTGGGGCTGCACCCAGCCGTGATGCTGACTGACTGCTGATGTGCTGATAAGGTGGATGGATGGGGAAAGGCCAGGCTGCAGTTTCACTCTCCCATCCCATTCTCCCACCCCCATCTGCCTGTTGTTATTGCTCCTGTTCCTGCAAGTACTGTGGTACTTTGGGGGTAAGGAAACTTCAGTTAAAGCAACGAGGAATCGCTCAGGACGCAGATTCCCGTTTCATAGGAGCATGCCCTGCTGTGCAGATTGCTAAGTTTATCTAGGCACCTTTCCGAAAAAGCGCCTGCCCTTGGAAGAAGGGAAGGGAGCAGCCATTCGAGCTTCAGGACGGTGTGTGACTGCGCGCTGCGGCGCAGCATGTGTGCTGCTGCACTGAGCCATCGATACACCTGTACGAGGTGCTTTGGAGACGGTTCTGCATCAGCAGGGCTTAAATGCTCACTCTTCTCCTGATGGGGCTGTGATTCCTGGCACGTGCGATCCCTTGGCCGGTGTCTCCAACGCGCTGGGTGCCGCCTGCCCGGTCCGGTCGGGGCCGCGGCTCCCTGCTGCCTGCCTGAGTTAACTGATCCAGCCTGGCCCTCTGGGGGGGATTTTATTAATGAGCCCTTCTCAAAGGGATCATTCTCTTGGTGCCAGGGAGGTCTTCACTTCTATGGGGGTATTAGCTTTCATTTAGATGAAAAAAGAGATGTTTGCCGCATCAGCTGAATCTCCCTCTTGTTGAAAAGCAGGCTGGTTATCTGTTGTGACCTGATCCTCCTCCTACCCCCTGCAGCACCCAGCAGCCATCGAGCAGCAATTCGTGGGCTCCTCCTGCACCTGATGCATGAGCACCAGGGCTGAACGTGGCCTTCCACGTGCTGCCGGTGACCTGGGGAGGGTGGCAGCGAGAAGGAGATTAATTTTTTCTCCATTGCCAAGGCTGGGAAGGGAAGAATCACAGTGTGTGCAACTGTTTAACCAGAAAAGGGTCCTGTGGCCCTGGGAACAGGGGCTGAAGAGCAAGAGGAAACACATGGAGCGTGGCTGCTTCCAGTCCTCCGAGGGGCTGTGTTTTGTTGCCCTGTAATAAGATTACCAAACCATTTAGGAGAAGACTAACAGTTTCTAAATCTAAAAGAGAGAGGAGCAAGAAACCTTCCTTTCTTCTGGCCATGGTGAGTGGCAAGGAGGAGCTGGCTTCGTGCCTCCGAGGTAACAGCGTTCCTGCCTGGGCTGCTGAGAGCAGTGGCAGCGCTGCAGGGCCGTGCGCTCCAGTGGGGAGGAAGAGGAAGGAGCCTGTGTATCCCCTGCGGTGAGTTGTGCTCTGTCCACCAAGTCCTGGGGGACAGCCAAGCAGCACCGTTATCACCTGGGCGAAGACACTGAAACAGCTCTTGAAACATCGTGTTGTCCATCGGTTCTCCAAAACTGACAAACCTGGAGCCTCTCCTGCGCTGCAGAGCATGTGGCAGAGAGGAGCAGAAGGTACCGTTCGGCACCGTGGGCCACAGCGATGTCCTCTCATGGGTGCTGCTTAATGAAGCAGCCAGCTGGGCCCACGAGCAGCATCTGCGCTTTGTGCCTCTTGCCTCCCTGCCCTGGGTGGGGTGCTGAGCCCGGAGGACCAAGCTCGTCCTGCCCAGATTTGTTTAAGTGCATAGCAGAGAGCTGAGTGCTGCTGGCTCCACCTCCTCGCCTTCGCGCTGCTGCGAGTGCGTGCAGGATGTTTCCACAGGGAAGCAAATGAACTGAGTGCCCTAAGGTTGGATCAAACTGGGAAGAAGTGAGGGAAGGGTAAAGCCGGGGGTCTTGTGGAGCCAAAATTGAAGTGCAGCAATGTTGCTTTTGCTGCAACTTCTTAGGGAGGTAAGAGAGTGGTTGAAGCTGGAGAGAGGTTAGGAAGGGAAAGTGTTGTATTTTTTAATCAAAAAGTACCTAAACCAACCAAACAAGCCTCACTCACCAGTATGGAAAGAACTTTGAGGGAAGGACAGGTCCTAAAGCCTTGGTGGAGCCGTCCCCTGTCTCCAGTGTTGCTGCCTGCATCCCAGGTGCAGCCGTGGTCACAGCTCCCTCTGGAAGACGTAATGGCTGCGGGAGCGGGCGCTGGTGCTGGCGCGCACGCGGCAGAGCGCAAGGGGTGCGATCTGCCCCTGCCCAGCCAGGCGTTCCTGCCACGAGCTGATAGAAATCTCTGCTGTTGGTCTCCACGTGCTCTGTTCTGCCTCCCACTCGCTGCTTCATTGTTCAGCGTGGGGTATTTACTGCAAACGAAAGCCAAAGGCCAGTGGTGGAAGGCAGCGTGCATCGCAATGCCCTGCGGGTCTCCTGCGTGCCATTGGCAGGGTGTAACCCTCCCCGTGCCCCGAGGCTGCGGTGATGGTAAGAGTACCTGCTATCACACTGCGAGAGGCTGCTGCTCCCCCTGCCACGGGCTGGCAGGAGCTGTGGCACGTGTTGAAGTTCTTCCCCATCCCATATGAAAGGAGCGGGGACGGGATATGAAGCTCCTCAGCTGGGAGAACAAACACTATAAAAGCCAAACCCGTTGGAAGGAGCAACTTTCCTGAGGGCAGGGTACGGCACTAAACACCTCGTGAGGTGTTTTCCCCTCCAACTGCTTACACACAACTTTGCCTCGTTGCTTTGCAGCCTCTCGAGATGGGGCGAATAACTCTGTGTTGGAGCGCAGCCCAGCGCCTAGATCAGCGTGCCCGTTACGTGCCGGGCGAGTTTACGGGGATGTCTTGGCACAGAGAGGCTCTCGGGGAGCCAGCAGCAGCTCCTGCTTAGAGCCAGGAGCACAGGAGGGCTCCCACCCCGCGCTGGCTGCGCCCGCTGTGCAGGGAGGCACCCGCCGGCCTCGCAGCTCCGCGCAGCCTCCCACGTTCCCCCCATCCCTCCAAGCCAGCCAGGGCTAGTGGCGACTCACCTGCCCTCGGTTCTGCACTCAGAAGTGGCCTCTGCCAGGTTAACTTTCCTGGTGAAGTCTGGGAAGATGCTGCTCATGGCGAGGGCAACGATCTGGAGCGATGCAGCCGCCGAGGGAGCGGAGTCCTGTCTGTGCCTTATCTCTCTCGAGTCACACCTCTGTGTGGCAAACTGGAAGGGGGTGGACTCCTCTGCCCAGTGTGTCCTGTTGAGGCAGGGTGATGTGTGTCCAGGAAGCCTGAATATCTAGGTTCTGCTTTTGAACATGCTGAAATGGTGACTGTGGCAGCATCGCTGCAACTCTTCCCTTGCTTCTTTTAGATAAAGGATTAATAACAGTTGGATGTTGAAAAGAGGGTTAACATTGATGTCTGAAGAGTTTTGCAACTGCCTTCCTGAAGTTAGAGAAGTCCTTGGGTATGAGTTTGGTTTTGTTTGTTTGGAGTATGTGTGTGTTCATGCTCTGCCCTGAGCAGGAGCAGGGAACTCATCACCCTTAAATGGTGGATGAAATATGTATGTGGGGCTGTAAGGAGGAGCTGCTGTCCCTCCACAGAATGCTGTGGTGGCCACACTTTGGGGAGAGGGCTCCCTAAAGACTGCTGCAAAACTGCCTTTGACCTGCATAGGGAAGTGGATCCAGCCTCTCTGTTGCTCTCTCCGAAGTGACTGAGGAGACTGGTGCTCTGACACAAGGTGGCATATTGCTACGTGACACAAGGTGGCATGATGCTACAGAAACACTGACTAGAAGGTAGGGAAGCTGTCCACATGCCGGATAGCTCTGCAGATGGAAGCTCACATCCTCAAAGAAGGGAGGAGAAAGCAGAGGTGGGTCTTGCCACTTGCAAATAGAAGCAAAATTTTTAAGGCAAGGTAGTACCTTAAAGCAAGTGATGCTTCCTGTTTGAAGGTTTGTGTGTCTGAAAAACTTAACTTGTCTTTTCCAGCTGTGTTGGCTGATACCAGTTCTCAAAAAGCCAGTGCTCAGCTAAAAATGCCTTGGTACATCTGCAACCGGAGCAACTTGAGGCAAGGCTGCAGCTGACATGTTGGTTTTGTCCATGTGTGAGAACCTTTTCTGCTGGTCTGCGACTTGTTGCTAACTGGAACCTTGTTCCTTTGTTTCCTTCAAGGTGCTCTGAATGTCAGGATCCCCTCACTAACTGGTACTACGAGAAAGATGGGAAGCTCTACTGCCACAAGGACTACTGGGGGAAGTTTGGGGAGTCTTGCCATGGCTGCTCTCTGCTGATGACTGGCCCTGTGATGGTAAAGACTCTGGCGTGCTTGTCCTTGCCTGGGAGCTCTCCTGGCTATTCAGATAACCAAATAAACTCTCATTAATATTCTACTTGCTGCTTAGCTTTTGTGTAAGAGGTTAAAAATTAGCCTTCATTGTCCACCTTTGAGATGTCCCCGTTAAAAATAGGGGTATAGCTCTTAAAGGAGGAAGTTAAGAGGGTGCTCTGAAAAGAGCACAGCCAATTTCTCATTGCCTGGGGAATAAAAGTATCTGAGTTTGTGCGTTGTCTGTTTGAAGAAAAAAAAAAAAGGCTCTTTCAACTTTACTAATTTAGGCATAATATTAGTTACTGTGCCAAGAGCAACCGAACAGGAAGGTTTAATATCTTGTTTACTAAGCGGCAGCAGAGTAGTATTTTTGATAGTTGATCAGCTGCCAAATATTGCAGAGGTTCCAGGGGCACGAGCTTTGCTTCCCATGTTGATGTTTGTTTCAGAGTTTTGTGGCCAAGGTGCCCAGGAGCAGGTTCAGGGAGGGTAGAACGGGCTAGTATTGCTCTCTAGTAAAAAGCTACCTCTTGATCTGGATGAACATGTTAATGAGAGCTAATGGCCTACTAATCTGCTTCTCTTTCTGTGTGTGTAGGTGGCAGGAGAATACAAGTATCATCCCGAGTGCTTTGCTTGTATGAGCTGCAAAGTGATCATTGAAGATGGGGACACTTATGCCCTGGTGCAACATTCCAGTCTCTACTGGTAAGACGCAGCTGCACATTTCATCACTGAAAATGTGTGCTGTGCCTGGCTGTGTGTCACCCACATTCCCTGATCTGCTACAGGGATCAGGGAGTGTCTAATTCTGTCTAATTCTGTCTAATGCTGCAGTGGGGAACTCTAGGAAGCTCCTTTTGAGGGAGCTGCCCCTTGTGGCTTAGGATCAACAAGGGAACTTAGATGTGTGGGATTGACAGGGAGAGATGGGACACTGCCATGGTGACGTCCTTTGCTTCTTTTAGTGGAAAATGCCATAACCAGATTGTGCTGACACCGATGATAGAAAAACACTCGACTGAGTCTCTGCGTGAGCAGCTGCCCTATACGCTGACCCTCATCTCCATGCCGGCAGCCACTGATGGCAAGAGGGGCTTCTCCGTGTCTGTGGAAGGCGGCTGCTCCAGCTATGCCACTGGCGTCCAGGTGAAAGAGTGAGTACGACAGGGCTGCGCGCCGGGTGCATCCCTCTGCAGAGGGAGCTGGTGAAACTTCCCCTCCTGCTGCTGTCCTGCCAGCTGCTTTAACTGCTTGGTGCATGCAGAGGCTAATAGCCATCTGTGTTCAGTCTCTGCTTTGCTCTTGTGATGACTTTGAATGATAGCTCTTTTTCCTTGGTGATGTCTCCTTCAGGGAACATGCAGCATTTGGGAAATCGTAGTGAGTTAGCAATTTTTGCCCTTGGGCAAATGAAATCCTTCCCCCTCCAGGCAGTTTAGGCTTAACCACTTGCTCCAGTGGTAGCTTGCTGTCTTATAGCTTAGCACTGCTTTATTTCCAAATACCAATAGCAAGGGAAGCACCAGAAACCAAATGATCATTGAGAAAACAGGCTAAACTGACTTCCCCTCTCCCCTTTTCTTTTTGCCCCTTTCTCCCATGTTTAGGGTTAACAGGATGCACATCAGCCCAGATGTCCGAAATGCCATCCACCCTGCGGATCGTATCCTGGAGATTAACGGAGCCCCTATTCGGACGTTACAGGTGGAGGAGGTGGGTAGAATTCTATCCTGAAGCATCCTCTCATCTGCCTTTGTACCATTTTTCTGTCTCTTGGCACTGATCCCTCACCCTACATACAGTGTCTGTGTAGGTTTGTAGTATTTGTTTATTCCCACTGCCAGTATGAAGATACGCTTTGCTACCCCTTCCTTCCAGTGGAGGAAGAAAATGTAGCAGATGGAAAGGCAGCTTGGATGCAGTTCAGAATTTCCTTCAAAGGTGAAGGAAAGCGATAAGGGAAGTGTGGAGATCTGACAGCTGAGAAGAGCAGGACAGTGAATACTATCTTGGTGTTGCCAGCAAAGTTTGCTGCTCTAATCCCTTTAGAGGCTACTATGAATATTCTGAGCTGATGCTAGGGATGAATTTCACATTGCAAAAATGTATATTTGGGGTCTGCATTTACATGTAAATGCAAGCGATGTGGCGGAGGTATAGTGAAATCACTATTACCTTCTGACTACATAAGGTTTTTATTTACTGTTGGTATTGTAAATGTGGATGTGAGGAGCACAACAGATGTGTCTCAGATAAATCTCTGTGTAGCTTAATGATGCCTTTGCACAGCTGTTTTTCCCAGGACTGTTAAGGATGGAAATTCATGTAGGTTTGGCCACTTCTCAGAAAAAAAAAAAGGGTTTGGTCTCTTGTAGCTGACCAGAACAGAAGATCTGCATAGGATGATCAACTTCTGTGTAGCTAGCTTGACTAGTCTAGTAGACAGCTGCGGTGTGTGCAGCTAAACCACAAGTATGGAGTGATCTCACTGAACTTGCTACTCTGAATCCTGAAGGGCATTCTACTGCATCTCCTACCTCTTGTCATTTGCGTTCCTCCTGTTTGCCATCATCCTGTCCTTCCGTCTGATTTCAGGTGGAGGACTTGATTCGCAAGACAAGCCAGACGCTCCAGCTGCTGATAGAGCACGACCCTGTCTCGCAACGCCTCGACAGGCTCCGTTTGGACTCCCGGCTTCCCGCCCACATAAAGCCTCCCATCTCCCCCCACTCCCTCTCTCCACTGGATATCAAGGAGAATCTGGAAGGAACGCTGCGCCGACGCTCCCTCAGGTAGAGCCGCGGAAGCGCTGCCTCTGACCTAGCTTGGCTTGGCCCTGTGCTGCCTGCCTGGGCTGCTCTGGGCCTGGGCCCTGTGACTGCAAATAGCTGTAGAGACGTAACTAAGCTGTGGTATAAACTACTGGCAAAGAGGTGCAGAGCTCGTGGTCCTGCTCTTGTCATGTATGCTCTCCGTTCCCTTCCAGGCTGGCCATCTTTCATTACTAAAAGTAAGGACCTCTACTTCTAAGCTAGAAAAGTTGTTTCGTTTTATTGTTAGAAAACTTGGAGGACAGATACTTACTGTCCTTAATGGCTGAGAGAAGCTGTCCTTAATGGCTGGGATTTCAACTTTGGGAAAAAGTTTGTCGTCTTACATCAGGGCCCTCAGTTGCTCATTCAATCATTTCACAATATTTTAATTTTTTGTTAAGAGCTGCCTTTTCACAGCTTGTTCCTTCTCCAGAACTGTGCCTCTGGAGAAGGGGCAGAAGATGTGCTGTTGTTAGGCAGCTGCAACTTGGAAGCTACTAGGGATTTGTCAAGAGCTTCCATGGTGCTGGGAGAGGGTCTAGCTTTTGAGATATGAAGAATACTGAAGCATCTCTGGAAGACGGTTCCTTAGGGACTAATGATAATATACATTGAACCAAAAGCTCCCTAGCAGCTTCCCTGATCTCCCTGTCTCCTTTTGTTTTCTAGGCGAAGTAACAGCATTTCGAAGTCTCCTGGCCCCAGTTCTCCAAAGGAGCCTCTCCTTCTGAGCCGTGACATCAGTCGCTCGGAATCCCTGCGTTCCACCTCTAGCTGCTCGCAGCAGATCTTCCGGCCCTGCGACCTAATTCATGGCGAAGTACTAGGAAAAGGCTTCTTTGGGCAAGCAATCAAGGTAAGGGAGCTCCCCAAACATGGATCACATCACCAGTATTTGTGTATCACAGGAAGCTTTCCTGCTCTCTCTGTCCTCTCATACTTGCCGTACTGATAGTGATCAGTTCGGGAACTCACCTGGCCCACTCAATGAGATCAATTCCTCTGTCTTGTTCCTTGTCTGTGTCCATAGCTGGATTTGACTCTGTCCTTTTTGAATGCCAGCTTTGCTCATGCACACCAGTCTCCTGGGTTAGATTTAGAGCTCTGGAGTGCCTGTGTCACAGCCACCAACCGTGGTGGGGTAATGGGAAACTTGCTCTTAGAAGACTCTTCCTTAGGAAGAGGTGAACTCAGCTCCTCAGTTCAGCACCTTTCACTGCCTAAATGGGTCTGTCAATATGCTGGTAGCTGTCAGGGTTGCATGACTCAGAATTAAAATTGCCATTAATAGCAGTTCTTCTGTCTTGTATTTAAACTCTATGGTCTTCAGTGAGGGTGCTTCAGGAGCTCTTATCTGTAATAGCACCAGGGAGCAGCTTCCTCTGCCTCATCAAAGGTGGTGTGAGTTCCTCTCATTTCTGCTTGCCATGCTATGGGACTTCAGGTGTCCAGCCACCATATCCATCTCATGCTCCCATGAGAGTTGGGGAGACAGTACTACAAACCTGGTGCTTTTGGTCTGATGCTAATGAGCATATTTCTCTTCTCCTCTGCTGGTAGAGAAAAAGCAGGTCCAGGTAAGCAGAAACTTCACTCTGTCGCATGCTTTTGTCATCTGTGCTCACACAGTTAATGGCACAAAGGCATTTCTTTTCTGACCAAGCTGCCTGATAGTCATCCTGTTCTGGTGCATGTTTTAAGGGTTAAAATCTCCTTGTGGTTCAATCATGGCACTTACTTCAGTTTTGCTGTTATGTCAGCTTAAAAATTACACTTAACCTTGTCTTGTCTGTGTCTTTGTCTTTTTACTTCCCTTTATCTTTGGGTATTAGATGTCCCTGGCTTCCATGTTGCTAAAATGTGTGGTGTTCCCTGGCTAGCTATTTAAATTTGGATGCTTCATTCCAGACAGGAGCAGAAGAATACCATACTTCTGCTTCTTTTGCATTATTCTCCATTCCACGCGTCGATATTCCACCTTGCTCAGTCCACTGGTTCCAAAGAGTGCTAATGTGCCACAGTATTTGCAAAAGCTCACCAGTTTCCTAAACTCAGTCCTGTGTTCTGAGTTGCAGATCTGGAGGCTTTCTGAAAGGCTTTTTATTTTAAAAGGATCTGGAGCAAAAATAACCAACAACTTTTTTGAACTTCAGATTGAATGTTTTTGATGCAACAAGTTTTGTGTCTGGTCAGAATAGTTCCCTTCTGTTCCATTTCAGAGAGAAGGGTGCTTGTTTAATTATCCAATTACCCAGGTAGACTGAGCTGTCCAAGCTAAACAAATGAAGGGGAAACCTGCTTATCAGAATTTGATCCCTTTACCTTGCTTCCCTGGGGTGTGGGAGTGAGGAGTGTTAAAAGAAGCTTCCAGAACACAGGAAAATGCCAGGAACTGTTTGTATAAGGGCAAACATTTCTTGAGGAACTAGAAATGCTTAAGAGCCAGAAAGTATATTGTCGGATGTTCATGGTGGATTTCTGTGTGTTGTCCACCATTCTGGGACCATCCTTGCAGGTAGCAGTACTCTACTCCCAAGGAGCATGGAAAGACAACGGAATATCCTTAACTCAATGGCCTGTGTGTCCCAGCTCAGCTTGCATAAAAGTTGGGTTGATAAGCTTATCAGAAGCTAACAGGCTTCAGAGTCCCTGAGACTGAGGGGAGTCTCAGAGTCTCAGAGTCCCTGGTTTGGGGTTGTTCGTTTTGATTTTTTGATGCAAATGAACACTGATGCCTTTGCTAATACAGAACTGTTAGGGTCCATGTACAAAATGTAAGCATCATGCTGGGCAAACCCTGTCTACAAGGGAACTAGAGGCTTGCATGAGTATGCAAGGAACTGCTGCCTTCAGAGGCTTCGACGGCCTGTGTGCATGCTCAACCCGGTGCTACCTAAAGCTGAGCCTTCAGCTCTGGTTCTTGGGATGCTGCTATCTCCTGGTATGACTTTGTCAGCCTTAGGTAGTCTTCGTCTCACTTGCAGGTTCTTTGCTAAATTCTGAAAGAAGAAATTTTATGTTGTGTTCTGCAGCTCCCTGGGATCTCAGTTTTCTCCCGTCTACACCCCCTGTCTGAATGGAGGGAGATGTTACCCTGTTTTCAGAAGCATGTTACCCATATCATTAGTGCTATGCATTTGAGATCTTCCCTGTATTTGTGGTGTCTCTTTCCACCAGGTGACTCACAAAGCAACAGGAAAGGTGATGGTGATGAAGGAGCTGATTCGCTGTGATGAGGAAACACAGAAGACTTTCTTGACAGAGGTAAGAGCAAAATTTTGAGAAGTTTCTGAGTTAATAGTGTGCCATTACTTTCTTCTCTCTCTTCTCCAGTGGGAGAGTGTTCACACCAGCCCTGGCAGGAATCAGATAGTGATGGGGGAGATGTCACACTGGGCAAAGCCTGACTCTAGCTGAATGTTTGCTGCAGCGAAATGTGACTCACCTCGGCTGAGCAGTAGACATGACATCAGCTCCCTGATCATTAATTTTTCAATGATAAAAAGCATTCTGAGTCTAAGGCAAATTAAGCTGTGTGAATATATACAGCATTTATCCCTTGAGCCTTGTGCACAAATACAAATGGTGAAGGCTAATGTCCATATGATGTTTAAGACTCCTGCTGTAATTGAGCTAAATCATTTTCTTGGTGGCCACTTAGCATGTTTAGTGAAGTCAGATTTAGCTTAGAGGGATTCCTAAGCACCTGGTGCTGCTCTTCTGACCCTGAGGTAGCAGTGTGGAGCAGCTAGCTAGCCTGGAGAGCAGTTGTATCTTAAAAGTCGGCCAAACCTAAGGATTGTCTCCTTAAAGGCTAAGATCAGGCTAATCACACAATATGAAAATGAAGAGGCAGCGGATAATTGATGGCCTTAAGGTTGAGGTTTGAGTGTGATTCCTGGAGGTGACCTCCAGGGCTGGAGTGCTCTCCTCTGTATGAATATCACCACAGAAGATCTGTCAGGGCTTGTTCCACTCTCTTCTTTGGGGCTTATATCTCTCTGCTTTCCAGGTGAAAGTGATGCGCAGCTTGGATCACCCCAACGTGCTCAAGTTCATCGGCGTGCTGTACAAGGACAAGAAGCTGAATCTCCTCACCGAGTACATCGAGGGGGGCACCCTGAAGGACTTCCTGCGCAATGCGGTGAGTGTGGGCTGAGAGAGTGTCTGGCAGACCTACTGCCTCTGGCATGAGGTGGTCACTGCCTCGTGCTCGTGGCTACCTTGTGATATTTGTTGCTGGTTTTCTCCTGTGTGGAGCTTCATGGAGAAGCTTTCCCTAGCTATAGTGGGCCTGGAGCTTGGAAGTGTTGCCTCTTGGGACTGTACCATCTCTCTCTGACTGCTGTAAGAGTCTCTGCTGAGAAGCAATAGCTGTCACCACCTGGCTGGTAAGATGCTCCCTGACTGTTGAGGACTTGTCTTTCAGGACCCGTTTCCCTGGCAGCAGAAGGTCAGCTTTGCCAAAGGAATCGCCTCTGGAATGGTGAGTCAGAGGGACCTTCCATCACAGACCCAACCTCCAGGGCCAGGTTAGCTGCTTCGGCAGGGCACTGTGTGAGGGGCTGCAGATGTTGCCTGGCCTCTAGGAAATGGGTTTGTGCAGAGGGCTGTAAATGTAAAGGTGTTTGTCTGGGACCCTCTGATGCTGACTTCTCTCCCTCTGTTCCAGGCCTATTTGCACTCCATGTGCATCATTCACAGAGACCTGAATTCACACAATTGCCTAATCAAGCTGGTGAGCTACACCTCTTTCCCACAGCATGCTGTTCCTTCCTCATCCTCTTCCTTACCTGATTTTCTCCCCCCACCCCGACGTTCAGTCTGGAGCCCTCTCTTGTCAGGATGTGGAACTGATTCAACTCCAGTTTGATCATGTTTTCACCGTGTCTTCATGCTGCTCTCTCAAGTTCTGTCCTGTGGTAGCATCTCCTGTTAACAATCATATTATGAGAATTTAATCAGTTTTATTCCTTATCTCAACTATGAATCATTCTTTGCAGCTGATTCTGTTCTTTTAATCACTTGTTGACTTTTTTTTTACTGCCATTTAGGATTTAGAAGTGTGTGTGGGGGGGTGCTGCCTTCCTAAAGTGCTAGGTCACAAGATCTTTGCGTAGTTTCATTCTCTCAAGCCCTGCTCCTGGTCACTTAGCTGGAATATGAGATTGATATCTAGGTTTCAGCTGACCCACCTCTTAAGTTTCTGTTCATTTCTGGCCAGGTAGAATAGGAAGGTCTGAAAAGAGAAAAGTCTGAGCTTGCTTTGGCAAGTGTAGCCAAGTTAATGGGGTTAGTGTTGATGACCTATATAGGAAGGAATTGACCATGGAGAGAGGAAATTACAAGTTGGGGCTGTGAACTGGGTGTCCTACACCTGTCCAGATGACTTGCTACTCATCTGGCTTCAAGAAACCTTGCTAGTAGCCCTCCTAGTATAGTTGGTAGTGGACAGGAATTGCAGCCTTTTGCTCCTGAGGGGAAGCAGTGGCTCATGCTAAATCCCCCATGTAGGATAAGACGGTGGTGGTGGCTGACTTCGGTCTGTCTCGGCTGATTGTGGAGGAGAGGAAGAAGCCCACCTTGGAGAAGCCTTCTGCCAAGAAGCGCACGCTGCGCAAGAGCGACAGGAAGAAGCGCTACACGGTGGTTGGGAACCCGTACTGGATGGCCCCGGAGATGCTAAACGGTAAGATACTGATACCAGCTGCGGATGAGGAGCCTGCCTGTGCCAAGGTACAGGGATGACAGGATTACTGAAAGCTCCTATGTCTTAGTAACAGCCAAACCTATTAGAGTGTATGGTTTTAGATCTGCTAATATGTGAGCTTATTTGTACACAGAGGTGCTTCAGCTGCATTTGCTCTTGCTGTACCTGCCCTGATAAGGCTTTGTACCAGCAGAGGGGATCTCCCTAGCAGGCAGGAGTAGCCCCAGACTTGCTATGGCCTAGGTAGCCATAAACTTGCTACAGTCCAGGGAATAAGAGGCTTTGAAAAAAGACTGAACCTGAAAACAATTTCCGTAATAGCCTTGTGCTTTATGACTGCCCTCTGAGGAGCAGAGAGTTATTGAACTGCAGGGTGAGGCTTATGTGTGCTGCTGCAGAGATGCAGGGAGAAGCCATCTGCTACCAGGCTTGCTGGAGCCTCAGGGTCAGGGGTGTCTGAGGGCCCTGGAAATCTATTTTTTGCACGTGACAGTGCGTTAGGGATGAACCACGTCCTTCGGGAATAACTGTTCCTGCAGAAGTTGAGGTAAGGGCGAAACGTAGTGGGCACATTTTTCTCCTAATAAATCTTCTGACAAGGCGAGACAGTCGGACTGGCTGTGGCATTGCCCAACTGGTTAGATACTGTCCACCGTGGAAGGGAGGACATGGATCTTCCCCCCTGTATTCAACCCTTCTCTGTTTGCTTTCTTGTATGCTGATCCGTTCCCCTTTTCTCCAGGCCCTGCTGGAGTCTGAGCCTGCTTCTCAGACCTGGCGTTTGTCAGAAGAGCAGGCGAGCAGGCTGACATCACCTCCCGAGGCAGGGCTGCTCTCTTCTCCTCACCATTATTCCAGTCTTGGCTGGGGAGGGTGGAGTGTCTGTAAGCGGAGAGCAGCCTGCGGGAGCTCATCTGCCCTCCCAGACTCCGAGTGCTGCTCGTGTGTAATTTATTACCTCTGCAGTCACTGCAGCAGGGCCTGGGCACTCGCTGACTGCCAGGGAAGCTGAACGCCTCGAGTGCTCTGTAGGGAGGCACCACAACAGCAATCAATGAGACTGGGCACAAGCTTTCCAGAGCTGTCTTTAGAATTTGCTCAAACCTCTGGCACGTGAGGCTTTCCTGTGCAGAAGCAAGAAGCAGGGTTTAAATATGGGGGGCTTTGTGGGGGAAGGTGCAGTTGCACACATGCAGCCAGCCCAGATGTGCGCCCTGCTGATCTGCTGTTCGTAGGGCCCTCGGGGGAATAGAGTTAGCTGAGCTTCAGCGGCCAAGCGTGGGACAATGCTGGCAGCTCCTGGAGTAGCTGGATGGGGAACTGTCTCTGAGCTGCATTTCTTATGTTCCTGCAGGACAGAGCTATGATGAGACCGTGGATATCTTCTCATTTGGGATTGTGCTCTGTGAGGTAAGGTCATGATGGGGTATCTTTGTGCTTCTCCTTCTCTCCTTCCTCATCATCTTCTCTGCTACACGTTGAATCTGGGTCCACAGGCTGTGACTTAGCAGCTCAGTGAGTTAAGCTGGGATGCAAACACTTCTGGCCCCTCACAGAAGATACCTGTCCTGTAACCTTTTGGTCCCAAAGTTTCCTCCTGGATTGAAAGAAATTAATAAAGTTCCTCCTGAACTGAAAGGAGCTGTAAAGAAGTGCAGCAGGTTCTGACTGAGCCCTACTGTCTGTTTTACCACAGGAGTTGTAGTTGTTGCTCTCTAAAGCCTGAGTTGTTTTTTGTTTTGTTTTTACCCTATTGCCTCAGTAAGAGAACAATCTGCTGTGCAGTTACCTCAACAGATTCAGGGTCTACATCCTCAATGGCAGTTGATTTCAGAGAAACTGAAATCTCCTTGCAAGTTGATTAATGAAGCTTTGACACTGCAGTTTGTAGGCTTAGGATATCTCTGAGCTGATTCACACTCTTAGTGCTGTATCAGGCTGCTGTCTGCAGAGCAAAGAACACCCCACCCTTCCTCTGCATTTCTACTGTAGTGTATTCCTTCTAAAATGAAAATACCTTGTGGCTTTTAAGGTTGCTACGTGTGCAGATAATTCAGCAGTTTCAGGAATGTGAGAGGAGACCAGCATAGTTTTTCCTTCCATGCTTACATGAAGGACATGAAGAAAATATCTGAGCATAAATCCTTGTGGCCTCATCTGGAGCTCTATTTACACTGGGCTGTCCTCTCAGAGAATGTTGTGGTTGAGAGTGACGGATTTGGGAACTTGAAAAATCTGTATGACGGATTAAAACAATTGTTTCATCTAGAAAAAAGACAAAGAGGTGATGGCAGATAAGCATTTCCCTTGTCCCCAAAATAAAGATGCTAAAAAAAGAAGCAGCATACTCAAAACAGATAAGGGAGTAAAGCTGCCAAGATACATACTGGGTGTTCCACTGCCTAGTTACAGGGCCTGGTTGTCCTGCTGAGTTACTGGCTTAGGAAAGCCAGGGTGTTTGTAAATAAGAACACCCTTTTTGTGATACCTGATAAGGCTTTAAACCTGATATTTTTCTGCATGTGAGAGACTGTAGTAATGCACAGAAGTAAACTTCTCCGGGTGCAAATTACCCTGTAGCTGCTTGCTGAGGGTTCCTTTCCTCTTGCTAACCCTCGTAGTGTGCCACTTGCTTCTGAGTTGTCCCTGATGGCACCTCATGCCAGAGGTGGCAAGTGCCCCTCTGTGCAGGATATGTTGAGTACTGGGACCTCCTGGGCAGGTTCTCTGTGTCCCACCCATCCTCTTTCCTCTGCCGTCTCTGCACCCCCTGAGCATTTGTTCTGTGCTGGTTCTTTCCTGACTCTCCTCTCTGGCTGTGGGCGGGTTGTGGCAGAGCGCTCCGTTTGTGCTGCTGTCGCCTTTCACAGCCTGGCTCTCGAGCTCTGCAGGACAGAGCTTTGCTGGTGATGGGGTGAGGTTGAGGGGAGGGGAGGAATGGGGATGCAGATTGGGGTCAGGATCCTGTTGTCAGGAGGGGCTGCATGGGCCTCGGCAGTTAAATGCCATGTAGCTTGCTGGGAGGTGCACACTGCTGTGTACCCTTCAGCAGCAAACCCTGGGGAGGGAGACGAGGCTGGGTCCCTCCACAGCAGCAGCCATGTTGCCAGATCTTGCAAAAAAATCACATGAAACTTCTCTGTATTTCTGTGCCTTGCTTGCTCCATTGTGCAACTATCCCCCTAGACAGGAGGGACTCGTGCAATGCCAGAGTTTCTGCTCTTTCTCTTCTGCCCTAATCCTTTGCAGAAGGCCCTGTCTGATGCTGGGGTGACCTGTTTGTAATGCTATGGGACTGTTGCTGTGCATAAGCACCCCTCTCCTCTCCCTCTAGATCATAGGCCAGGTGTATGCTGACCCGGACTGCCTCCCACGCACACTGGATTTTGGCCTTAATGTCAAGTTGTTCTGGGAGAAGTTTGTTTGTCCTCCTGCCTTCTCCCCTTTGGCTGCCATTTGCTGCAGACTGGAACCAGAGAGCAGGTGGGTTTTGGGCAGGAGGACCCTTCTTTGTAAACCTGGGGGATGTGTCCTTACATCCCTGGTGAAAGGGTTGCTCAGCACAGAGGGTGGTAGAGGGTTGTATTCCTGCCTTTTGTGGGATTGCTGTCTGGGAAGCTTCCACGGGAAGAGAGGCTAAGGACTCCTGAGCTCAGGAGAGACTGAGATGGAGATGTAAAGAGGAAGTGACTGTTCAGTTTCTCATGTGTGAGAAGTTCAGGCAGTCCTTGGCAGCATGTCTGAAATGCAAATACTTCACACGTGGTTTCACTTGTGAAACTTGTAGCTTCAAAACAGTTGATGCCATTGAGTTCAGAAAGGGCCAGGCCTGCCTGATCAACACCTGTAAAAAACACAATAACCCCAGATAGATGTGATTACTGCAGTCTCTGAAACTACACGGGGAAGGATCATGTTCCAGTTCACAGCTCTCCTCAAGGGGCAGTGTCCTGGATAGGTTCTTGTTCCAGTTGCTGCGTCCTCTTCCACGCACATATCTACTCATTTGTCCTTCTAGACCCACGTTTTCCAAGCTGGAAGATTGCTTCGAAGCGCTCTCTCTCTTCCTGGGAGAACTGGCTATCCCCCTGCCATCGGAGCTGGAAGAGCTGGACCACAATGTGAGTGTGCAGCATGGACTGAGCCGCGACAAACTACCTGAAAACGCAACCTAGTCAGTCCGTCCTGCCGCGCGCGCCCCGGCGCGGGA